CTCGCTGCCTTCCCCTTGCGCCATCCCTGTGTGTTTCTGTCCGTCTCTGTGCCTCCGCTTCTCTCTCCTGTCCCAGCTCTCCTGCGTCTCTGTGCATCTCTCTCTGTCTTCTCCCTGTCTCCGTCTCTGCCCATCTCCGCGTGTGTCTTCCTCTCTCTTCGTGCCTCTGTCTCTCTTTCTCTGCTCTCCATCTCTGTCTCTGGGTATCTCCGTCCGTCTCTGTCTCAACCCCACCCCCCCCCCCCCGTAAACCCCTCCCCCCCCCCCCCCCCCAGCCAGTTAACTCTCCTCCTACACACCTTTGTCTCCGCCCCTGGTAGGGGGAGACCCAGAGGAAGAAGATCCCCCTGCAGAGTGGGCTCCCCACAGTCCTGCAGACTCCTCTCCCCTCTTCAGCCGAGCTCCCCCCCATCCTCCCCGGTGGCATCCACCCCATCTCTGCCCTGAGCACAGAGCCCTTCTCCTCCCCGTGCCTTGCTTCTGGCATTCTGAGGCCAGTCCTTGTAGTCTAACCTGTAACCTGTGTAGTAGAGGTTGGACTAGTCCTTTCTTCCATCTAAGCTCCCCAGTCCTCTTCATATAGACTGTACTTCCCTACAGTCTAACTTCCATACCTCTTGTTTGTCCAGTTCTTAACTCATTCATTCTTTTGATAATTACTGAGCACCTTTCCTACTCCAGGCACAGCACTAGGTACTGGGTCAGGCCAGGCCAGTCCTGCCTGAAGGCTCACTTCTGTCCCTCTCATGGCATGCCAGCATCAGACCTGTCTCTCAGTGGGGATGATCTCAAAAGCTTCTCCACCACCTTGTGCGGGCTCTGAGAGGGCCCTTCTGAATCCAGAGGTCCCTGGCCAATACATCCTCTCCCTTCCGTGAGGGAAGGGGGTGCCCTGAGAAGGTGGGCGAGAGCAAGTGACAAGGAGAGAGGTGTGAGCCTGTGCCTGCTGCAGTGGGGTTGTGTGTGCGAGTGTGCGTCCACCATCTCTCTGGCTGCTCGTGAGATCCCCACCCTGTGTGACAGTGCCCACATGGGGTTCCACATGGCTTAAAGGTAGCACTGGGTTAACAGTCCCATGCTTTGATTTTCCATCTCTACTCTGCTTCTGACTTGAAGCTGTGTGACTTGGCCAAGCCCTTTGCCTCCTCCATATCTCAGTCTTTCCATCAGTGTATCACAGCCTTGAACACCAAAAGTCTGTGTGTGGGATCCCCAGGCTGGGACATTGCAAAGTGGTGGGAGAGCCTGGCTCACCCTGGAGCAGTCTGTGCATGTATTGAGAAGTCCGTGTGCTCACCTCACACATTGCTCCAAGGGGCAGTGGGCACCCCC